ACCCAATGCCTTGAGAGGTTTCATATCAAATAAGGCTGCACGGATATCCTCACTGGTGACCAGCTTCCCAACGGTGTTAAGCATGTCCGGAGTAAGTGCCGAAAATCTACCACGGACCTTAAAGCCATCGCCACAAGGCGTATCCTTAGAGTAAAGGCCTTAAAAGAAATTAGAGGCCATGAGTTTAAGTTGATACTCATAAAAACTCCAATTACCCGCATTATCTTGGAGCATACTAATCTTATTCCATCTACATTGGGCCATAGTGCGCGCATGGAAGTAGTTTCTATTCTTATCAGCAAAGGGTAATAAAATCACATATAGCTCTTTGCAGCCAATAAAGTTCTTCCTATAGAATATGATCTCAAGCTCTTGGCACAATGACACTTCAAGTTTACTGAGGTACTTAGATCGGTCATGTTCAAGCATCCTTTGGATGCCAGCGATGCGAGCCATTAAACATTTTTTCTTACGAAAGACATGACCAAAGATTATGGTATTCAAATCCTGAGCACGTCTTGAGAAGTTGTCAATGGTGGCCTGAAAAGATTCCCCGCCCTTCCAATTCCTCTGGACGAGATTATAAAAGTCAAGTTGGGTAAGCCAAGCCACAAGAAACCGGAACGGAGGGGGGTGCCGATTCTACGACTCACCGTAGCATTAATCAGCAGAGGCATATAATCATTTAAATTTTGGCCAGGTGGTGCACCAACATATCAAGGAATGCATTCAACCAAGGCAAATTCGCAATGGCCTTGTCAAGACGTTGGAACAATCGACTATCGAGAGGGAGTTGTGACTCAGAAACTAGGAGAAGAGGAGACAACCATTGCTCCCTCTGGTAACACCCCCTTTCCAATCAGAGCTATCCAAGATCACATTGAAATCCCTGCGATCAGCCACGACTCTATCATGATACTACTGAGTTGGCTCAGGTGAATCTAGAGGTAGCAACATTTTTGCACCTAAGGACTCCCATAGACTATAGTAAATAGGACGGTTGGCTCCCTCTTACTCCAATGAATTCTAGTGTGAATGAATTAGCAGTTATTCGCTAGGATGTCAACATACGAAGAATCATTCCATAGGAGCCAAATACCTCTTGCGAATCCCTGTGCCTCTACTTAGTGTGAAAAACTAAATCCCAGTCTATGAATGACCTCATCAACCTTCTCCCAGTAATACGGGGTTCAATTAAGGCCATAATGAAAGGGTTATGCTGCTTAATAAACGCTCAAACCACACACTTGACTCGAGGATTAATGGCTCATTGGCAATTCAATGTGAAGATTTTCATATCCATAGACATAGAGAGGAGAAGAAAACACACTAATTCAACAAAAAATCTAACCCTGATCGGTCGACCTTGCCACTAGAGATGCATCAGATCAGTCGACGTTGCTGATGACACATCGACTAGACGCGTCTCATCGTCTGCTCATAGCTCTGCACATCTC